GAGAGCTTAATGCCAGCAACTTCAACACAGGGAAGATGCCACAGCAGGAAAGGATACTACCCAAAAAGGTTGTTGGAACTGTGGAGAGCAAGAACATATGAGGAGCCAGTGTAGGAAGAATACTACCAATAAGTCAACCTCGTGGAAACCAATAGTGGTTGGTGTTAAGGGACGCCCACCAAATCCCATCGTGAAAGTTCCAACAACTAGGTGTAAAATGCCAAGCACACATAGTGTCTACATGACAGGAAAGCTGGATGGCCAAAAGTGCAACTTTGTCATAGATTCTGCATCTCAGCAAACCCTTGTGAGTATCAAGGTGCTAAATCACAAAAGAGTACCAGAAGTCATAAAGAAGCTTTGTAATGTGACAGGACATTATGCAAGGTTGTGGGGACCAGTGTGGGTAACTATTGAGCTCATAGGCATGAAGGACAGACACAAAGTATATTTGGCTGACATTGAAGACCAATGCATATTAGGGTTGGACTTCTTACTACCGAGGAAGTGTATAATTAATTTTGATAAAATGACGTTTGGGAACAACAAAGGCCAAATTCAGGTAAGTGTTAAAAAGTGATTGAACTAACCAGGTGCCATCAAGCTGAAGTCAAAGTTGATGATGGTGAAGTGGAACCAAATATAGATATCAAAGCAGAACAGAAGAAAGACCAAGATTTGAAGCCAATAATTGATTTTCTAAAAGCAAGTGTTTTGCACCCTGTTCTGGAGAAGATGTCTAGTCTAAGCCCTGTGACAAAGCACTATTGGGCACAATGGGACCAGTTGAAGCTTGAAGATGGTATTCTTGTCCGGAGATGGGAAACTACAGATGGGAATGTGTTGACCTGGCAAACAGTTATACCGAGAAAGTTACAGGAAGTTGTGCATGCATCAATCCCATGATAGTTTAACAGGATGACATCTCGGAGTTAAGAAAACATTGAATCACCTACGACAGAGATTTTACTGGATAGGTATGAGGCACGATGTGGAAGAATGGTGCAGAACATGCAGTACATGATTAGTATTTAATAAAACTTTGTAATATTTTTACAGGATACAAGTATCTAATTCTTAACCTGTTTCTCTCCTGTCTAACTGCAGGATTTGATAACGATATAAAGGTGAAGTAGTGATGTTACCATGGATGTATCAAAGATGAAAGATGAACCCTTTTCTGAAAATGAGCAGGATGATTTGGTGGATATCAAATTGATGAAAAATGAAGATGAAACTCCTACATTATCTAGTAGTAAGTATATATATTTAGAATTTAAATATTTTGTGTTCTATCCAACATAAGTAGTGTGAATGTTACCTGTTAAACAGTGTCCATGAATTTTCCATCACTGTTTGGAAATTTCTTATTGTAAATGGTGATTTGATTTTCTCTAATATCCACCAGTAAAATTGGGTTATATTCTTATGCGTAATTATGGTGTTTGATACAAGTAACCTAAAACCAGTAACACTTGTGTGATTATAACCTATACCATCACCTGTAGATGAGGTTAAACCTGAGACCTTTAAAATGTCAAGCTTGGGCTCTACTAACTGAACTAATTCCTTAACCTATTGTCTACTGTTAGTAAAGCAATTTATATCAGTTCAAAGAGCACTTATTTCATTCATAATGTTTCTGAACAGTTAATTTACTGGTTAGAAATTAAAAATCTTGTCATTAAAACTGATAATAATAACAACAACACATACACAGCGTGGTCATAAGTAAATAGACACCACCTTTTTAAAATTTCAGTCATATTCACATGAATTGATATATTTATAATTTGATTAATATTTAGTAGATCTTCCTTTCACTTTGTGGAGTTCGTTGATCCTTTGGGGCATCGTGAGAATCATCTCATCAATTTTAGATTGTGGTATTTTCGCCCACTCTTGCTTCAAAACTTGGAGTAGATAGCTCTTCGAAGTTGGTTTTTTTGGTTGTTTCTTGACTTGCCGATCAAGTATTGCCCAGAGGTTTTCGATGGGGTTCATGTCAGGAGATTGGCTTGGCCAGGGCAACTTCTGGATACCATTTTCTTCCAGTCACTTTTGGGTGTTTCTAGCAGTGTGACACGGTGCTCCATCTTCCTGGAACAACATTGTATTCTTGTTCACGAAACCAGAGGAATAAAGTGGCAAGAGTCCTTCCTCCAATATTTTGCAAAATTTATGTTGCCAACGCACTCCACTAAGCTCAATCTCCCACCAACCCAAACAGCTCCCCAAACCATGACACTGAAACCACCATA